AATCCTAAAATATTTCTTCTTCTTTTATTGTCTAAAATATACTCCTTCGCCCTAATATTATTATAAAGATACACTTCTCAGTTTAAAGACTCCAAAGATTTGGTTAAGAAATATAAAATAATAATTTGCCACACTACACAGATCAAACTAGTATAGATCGGGATCAATTAGATTATTGAGATATAACGAATTTATCTATACCTAGCTAGAATGATTTACCCTGCTAAATTAAATAACCTAGAAGAAAGTTCACTTGCATGTAATCACACAAGGTGAAGGTGTTAAAAAGTAATAGAGTTAGGTGGAGTAAGACAGAGAGGTTTATCACTAAATCTTTACTCATCGAATCAACAGAGATATAGAAAGTTGACAACAAGCAACAATGGGAAGCGAGAAAGATAGAGGAGAAAGATACGTCTATATTCAAAGTAAATCATGAAACCGCATGCCTAAACTGATAAGATTATGAGCAGCGACAATTAGGCTCGAAATGTCACAGTATGATATTTGTAATAAACTTATCTAATATGGAATTATCGCCACAAGATTGGTAAAATTGTTTGTACTGTATTAGAGCAAAGCCGGAGAGAGATGAGGATCTAATCAAAAAGTAAAATATATTTAACTGTTGGTTTGTAGCGATTTGGTTGGTTACAGGATTTCATCATGAGCTGACATTGGTTAGAGAACCACTGGAAAACCTGGGAGTACTGGACAGCTGTTTCTGTTGTCCTGTTTTGGGACTCTAGCAGTACGCACCCACCGGGAATTCTCTATCTCTATTAACCAGTAGGTAGATGAGGCTATGGAGTTTGCAACAATGGATGCCGGGTTCAAATCCCACTGGAAATAGAATCACTCACTCCACATTCAAGAATATTCAGCCGACAAGTCTCATACAGTATGAAATGCACATGCTGAACTCCACTGCTGGCTGCATTGAACCAAATAAAATCACATTTAGAATTAAGTGATATATATATATATATATATATATATATATATATATATATATATATATATATGTGAAAGATCAGTACATCAGGATCGTATAAGAGCTCGCCTTGTAACCAGAAGGCCCTGGGTTTAAAATCCCTGTTGGTGGGTGCGTACTGCCGAAGAGTCCCAAACTAGGACGAGACAGCTGTCCAGTACTCCCAGGTTTTCCAATGGTTCTCTAACCAGTGTCAGCTCATGATGAAATCCTGTAAAAAGTATTTCTTTGCTCAATCCTTTTGCCTTTTACCTTCTCTAAACGTTTATAAATGGAGATTTTCATGTTTTTCTGTATTAAATCAATATCGTCACAAATGGAATTTCATAATCACGGTGATAACTTAGTCATTAGTCTTGATAGTTAAGTTTGTCATCATCATAACAGAGTGACTAGACGAACAACAGCAGCAACAACAACAACAACAACAAAATGAAGAGGTGTTGACAACCATCGGTGAAACAGTTGTTTCACCCAACCTAAGTAGGTAGGGAGATGACTCATCGTTGTCATCATCAATAATGCACATCCTTGATCTCTACTGTCAGACAAATGAAAATAATAATAATAATAATTTATGGAAGCGGCAAGTTGTTAGATCACCACAAAAAATGTCATTTTTTGTGATTTGGCATCAATACGTGTAACACTGCTACTCATGACTAGGAAATATCGCCACCTATGAATCAGCATCAGTTGGACCAAAATAAAAGCATGAGATAATTGCAAGTCTATCCACAACTACGTTTATCTAACATAAAATTCTTACGTTTATTGTATAATATACATATTGGATCATAAGAGAGAAAAATATAGACGATGGTTCTGGCGAAGGAAATTTTCTTTTCAACGAAGTCATCATCAACTAAGCTGTTCACACATTCGTGAATGTGTATCACAAAGTGGATAAGGAAGTTGTAGAATTAACTTGGTGGATGGTGACTACTACTGGTGGAATCTACCAGGATGCACATTTCGTCCTATTGGAGATTCATTAGATGGACGTGCCTACATTACCCAGTAAGTGGGTGGTGGATAATGATGGTGTTCCCACTGAGGCTCTCCTCTTGGCCCAAGTGGTCTAATGGATAACGCTTTAGCGTTTGAAAGGATAGGTAACACTGGGTTCAAGTTCCGGTAAAAACACGTCACTACTCATTCACTTGGGAATGCAAAGGCGTCCTGATGACAGGTCTCAAATAGGACGAAATACCCAACCTGGATTCCACCAGTGTTACTAGTCAACGTCTACCAAATTAATTCTAGGACCTCCTCACGCCTTTGTTGTATATTCACGAATGTATGGCTGTGTTCATAACTCCATCGTAAAAAAACTTTTCTTCCGTGCAACTGTCTCTTTGTTTTTTTTTCTTACCAATATGTTCATATATTTTTATTATTTTCTATCTCTTTACATTACCAGAGGAAAAACATAAGGCTGCTTCAAGCTAGAGGCTTGAAGTTTCAGTAGCAGTGGTGTTTTTTTTTGACGTTATGGGGCTGCTAGCTTCATGCCCAACCTTCCCTCTTTATCAGTCTTATCACTGGCTCAGCGAGGTAAAGGAGTGCGTAGGGAGGCGATCGAACCCCAGGCAACATGCGTGATTGGCAAGCATTATACCGCAGTGTCACCGATGCATAAAAGTGAATATATCAATAAACAAAGAGAGATATTTGGAAAAATGATATATGCAGTTAAAAGATGGTTTCCACTACTATTTTATTCCTTAATGTTTCCGATGGAAGATAGAACTTTAAGCTAGAGCTTTGAAATTTCGGTAGTAGTGATTTGATCTATGTGGGGTAAGGTCGCTATCCTCACAACCAACATTCCTACTTCACCGAGCTAACTACCGACTTAAAGAGGTTTGGATGTGCACAAGCAGGGGGTCGAACCAAAAACCACATGCATGGCCAGCTAGCGAGCATTCTACCGCTGAACCTTCTCGTATATTAATTGTCTAGTGTCGGTTGGGCAAATGTTTCTCGCCTAAAACATCAGGGTATAAGCAACTTGAAATGAGTGAATTGATCATCCCATGATATTTTTTGGGTAAATAACCCGCTTAGTACTTCCCTATTGCCTTCTTGTTAGCAGGACATCAATAAATACAGAAATAAGAGGTTTAACAAAACACCAATGGGCCAAGGTTACAAAATAATAACCATAATAATACACTTTCCTAACTCAATATGATAATATACATCGGAGAGGATTACAAGGTTTGACTATTTTCATTTTCTCTACATCTTTTCTTAACAAGAGCATTCTGAAGCCAACCGCTTAGTTTATGTCAAAACGGAAGAGGAAGAGTTGTTTCACCACTGTCTGAGAATCTTCAGCTGTACGCATCCATGAGCCTTTCAGGGATAGAACCCAATGGTTGAATGGTTAACGAGCTCGCCGTGTAACCCTAAAATTCCTAGGTTTAATCCCCTGTGTAGCCATGAGTGTGTAATGATGAGGAGTCTCAAAGTAGGACGAAACAATCAGTTCATGATCAGAATTGAAAAAGTCTATCGACTGAAATTACATATTAGTGAGCAAAAATCAATCTACAGATAAATGCCTACACATTCAAGCATAAACGTGATCTACACGAACAACTTCATTCAAGTGATGTTTATAGCATAGACAGCACTGAAGTAGAAACTAAGTCAAGCGTAAAATAAATACCTTGGAATATTTCTATAATCCCACCTCACTGGATCGACCATTCCATATCTTGTTAAGTTCTCAGGAAATTGTCAGTTTAACACACCTTCTACATTAAGAAGTTAAGACAGTCACTCAAATTGATTAACTCTTTCATCTTACCTATTGTTTTTTTTATTCCTCTCAACCAAAACATTAGTCTTTCTTGGACTACTATTATAAAAGGACTATGTCATATTGTGAAGGGTAGTAAAGATTGTCAGTAGGGCAGGCAAGTTAGTTTGCCACTGACTCAGTCAGTCACCTCATAACTGTTTTGGTCGACAGACACCAGAAATCACATGAGGAATGGAGTATATCCATATTGTTTGACATTCAATAGCCTTCCTATTCACCGATCTCTCCTTGCATCTCACTAGTTAGGGCTAGAAATCATTATAAAAGATGATATGCTTTCTCGTAGAAAGTGTTCACTGTGAAACGCATAAATTATTATGTAATTAGCATAGATAGACGGTTCTTTTCATCTTCTCCTGTTTTTAATTTATAGTGTCACTAACTGTTTCAATTATCGCATCATTTTAGTTATTAAATATTTACAACTATTATTATCATTTTAAACTTTTTGTACAGTTTTGAATCTAATACTACTGCTAGTGCCAAAAAGCTGATATTATCACTTCTGGTTATCACACCTCTGCTCACTGTTTCTATTATGCTTTTCTTGTACTTTCTTCTCTTGCTTCGCGTGCTACACGGAATGTGGCGACTTGAACTTCCGCACATTTGTGCAAAGTTCTATGTCGAAAACAGACAGACAGACAGAATTTTATTTATTCTTATTTTTGATTTACAGCTTGATTCCACACCGTATTTTTTTTTGGTACAGGTATGGAATTTTCAGCATGTGATATCGGTAGCCCAAATTTTGCACCATAGATATCAGGTATGCGTCGGTAGGGCATCGAACCCCGGATCATGTGCATGGTCGGCGAGAGTCCTAACCAATGTGCCACCCTCCTTTACATCCCCAGTGGAACAACACAGGGCTAATTCAAGCTAGAGTTTATGTAACAGTGGTGATTATTTTTACAGGATGGGGTTGCTAGCCAGCCTCATGCCTAGCCTAACCTTCTCTCTTTACCAGTCTTACTATTGGCTTAGCCGAAGATAGAACCCCGGACCATATGAGGCGTGGTCGGCGAGCACTCTACCGCTGTGCCACCGACGCACAAATTTTTTTGTTAGTGTTGTAATGCTGTACTAAATGCTGAGAACCACACACTGTATCACGGGTGCCATTTTGGAATAAATCAAACTATAATTATTATTGTAATCAAATAAGCTTACCACCACGTTGGACAAGTAGACGTGCTTCTTTCCCAACTGGACATTGTTTCAATATTTGTACCACTTCGATATGTGGCATATCTTTAACACGTTGATCATTAATCTCGACAACTACATCACCAACACGTAGGCGACCACATCGTACAGGATCTGATATAGCCTTCACATGTTGACCTTGAAGATGGTCGGCTAAGGTAAATCCAAAACCATTGGCTTGTTTGAAAATTGACACCTACAAATAAATCACAATAAGAGAAAACACATAATTTGAGAGAGCCATTTGCTTTGTATGCGCGCATGGAAGGGTATGTGGGCGGTTGTTACTACCCAACTGCCTATACGATCGCTGTTGATTCCTCTTAAGAGTGACTGAAAAAGAAGGGGTATTAATGTTGCGTGATCACGCAGCCCAGGGGAGAAATGCTTGAGGTTGTTCACACACGGCCTGTTTGAAGTGACTGTTAGGGTTCCGTCCAGCTATGGACTGGAACAAGGAAAGTAGAGATGTACAATTTTCGTCAACGTCATTCTTAATCCCCAGTCTCCAGAGTGGAGAAGCAGCATAGCTAGCTTCCTGGAAAAAATATTACTGCAGTTACAACACGATTTTGCCCTCAAATTTCCAAACGACTGACACTATCACGATAACTGCCTTTTTTACTGGTTGCTATTCTAGAGATTTTGCTGACATGGTGGGACACGCAGACAAATTAGTTCCAGCCAGTGTTTTCCGCTGGGTCATTGAGATACGCAAGTCCAACTACCACGTCAAGGTAGTAGCCATTATTCCTTTGCGTTCCAAGTGGGATATACATATACATAACTTCAAGCTTTAGCTATGGAATTTCAGTAGAAGAGGCTCTGTTTACCACTCTTAAGTATATTGAAATGCTGACTTAATGAATTTGACAATTTTGTAACGCAAGCGTGACTGCCGGCGCCAGACAATGTCATCCGAGTCGAGTACTTGTCCTCCCTCTCGACCTGCTGGTGGACCCCACACTGGTCACGGTTTCTCACTGGTACTCAAGAAAACTATAGCCAGTCAGTTCCTAGCGAGCAAGCGTTCAATGACTCCCGGGAATTACAACTTCTATCATCTCATGAGATATCGCTAGTTTTGTTTCACGAATTGGTAGAAATTAGAATTCATTAGCTGGTTACTGAGTCTGGGGTCCCAGTGGCTAAATGGACTACCAGCTGGATTGAACTGTAACCGGAAGGTTCTGGGTTCTCATCCTGAAGGTCAGTGAGCACTACTGATAAGTCCAGTACTCCCATCGTAGTCTTCAGTGATTCTCTTAATGACATCAATCTGTAGTGAAACTTGAATAACAAATCAGATCCCTACAAACTACCTCTCAAACATAAATACTCACATTTTCGCGTTGTTAATTCTGTATAATAAAGATGCACTGGATGCAGAACACCACCAGCCGAAAAAAGCTGGATTGAAGAAAGGCAAATTATGTGCTGAACAAATTGCAACTCCACGCATCGTCATCACAGAACAAAGCGTTAAATGGCAGTCAAACCTCCACCTTAGCATCATCGACTTCAAAAAGGCCTTCCACAGACAGTTTTGACTGAGAAGTATTTTGGGAACTATTTCAACACTACAGCGTGCAGTGTGCAAATCTTTATCAGCCTCATTCAACAGCTGTCTATATTTAGAAAATCAAAACAAGTGATTCAGCGAAGAGACTCTTTTCAACGAATTTATCATCAAGCTGTGGAGTCGTATATATATGGTTTTTTTTAATAAGTTATATCCGGTGAGGGAATTGAATCTTAGGTGTGAATGCACAAAATAATAATAATAATAATAATAATCATATGAAGTTCAATTAAAACTAGAATGTTTGTGATTATACTCATGGTTAAATGTCAAGTGGCAAAGCAAATTAATGTCATATATAGAATAATTCATAGGAGGGATAGAACTTGAAAAAGGATGTGCAATTATAGGATTAGTAGACAAATCGAATAAAACAAAAACGTTATGTAATATTGTGTGAAATTTAATAGCATAGAATTTATCGTTGTAAAAAGAATTGATTTAGAATGACAAGTGGAACAAGTGAAATAATACCGGAGACAGTTCAAAGTGAGAATAGTAATAATAACAATTGACTTAATAAGGAAGAGTATACAAATTGAATAGACAAAATGAAAAATTGGTAGAGTTAAAATATGATTGGGGATTATCATATTTTAGCATAGAGGGATTAAGACCATGAAAGTTGGAGGGGTTGAACGAACTTTTTTCTGTACACAGAGATCTGGCTTTTCTGTTTCGATAGCCAAAGCTTCAGCAATACAGATGAGTCGGGTACATAGGGATTTAGGTAGATTGCTCTTTGCCTTGTAGATGACTTTAAAGGCGGAGGCTACAGAGATAGGGTGATCATTTTCGACCAGATGTTCTATGATCGCGCTTCTTATTGCGATCGGTCGTTCGACTCGAGTTTTGTCCAGGAGGGTGCAAGAACATTATCCTGCATGGCTACGAAAAGGTGGAAGTGGAGCAATAAGAAGCGCGATCATTGAACATCTAGTCGATAATGATCACCCTATCTCTATAGCCTCCGCCTTTAAAGTCATCTACAAGGCAAAGAGCAATCTACCTTAATCCCTACGTACCCGACTCATCTGTATTGCTGAAGCTTTGGCTATCGAAACAGAAAAGCCAGATCTCTGTCTACAGAAAAAGTTCGTTCAACCCCTCCAACTCTCATGGTCTTAATCCCTCTATGCTAAAATATGATAATCCCCAATCATATTTTAACTCTACCAATTTTTCATTTTGTCTATTCAATTTGTATACTCTTCCTTATTAAGTCAATTGTTATTATTACTATTCTCACTTTGAACTGTCTCCGGTATTATTTCACTTGTTCCACTTGTCATTCTAAATCAATTCTTTTTACAACGATAAATTCTATGCTATTAAATTTCACACGATATTACGTAACGTTTTTGTTTTATTCGATTTGCCTACTAATCCTATAATTGCACATCCTTTTTCAAGTTCTATCCCTCCTATGAATTATTCTATATATGACATTAATCTGCTTTGCCACTTGACATTTAACCATGAGTATAATCACAAACATTCTAGTTTTAATTGAACTTCATATGATTATTATTATTATTATTATTATTTTATGCATTCACACCTAAGATTCAATTCCCTCACCGGATATAACTTATTAAAAAAAACCATATATATACGACTCCACAGCTTGATGATAAATTCGTTGAAAAGAGTCTCTTCGCTGAATCACTTGTTTTGATTTTCTAAATGTTACAATGGGAATTTTCCATAAGCTGTCTATATGACAGTGCCATGAGTCAGGTGATCCACAATGGAATACTCATTCAGTAAGGCGTTCGAAGTGAATACAAGAGTAAGACAAGGTGGCTGCCTAATATCACTGATGATATTCTTAATTGTGGTTGACTGGATTATGTGTCAGACTGTGCACAGGGAATGAGAAGACAGGAATAAGTTGAAACACTTATCAGAAGACTCTAGAAGATAAATATATTAGCACGTGGATGATTTATGTTTAATGTCACACAGATTCAAAGACTAGCAGGCGAAAACCAAAAAATTGGCTAGGCAGGCTGAGAGCGGAGACGGGACTCCTGGTGAACATAGAGAAGCAGATGTAAGGAAGATAACCAACCACTACTAAACAACAACAACAGCAACAAACACCACCAATCATCATCAACGGGAGAGATGTAACAGTGGTTACCTCCTTCACTCATTTGGGAAGCATCATTTCAACTACAGGCAATCGGAACGGATGAAAGTGTCTAAGGCAGCTAGTCAGAATTGGTAAGGCAAAAAGAAACCAGTTTGCAAATATTCTGCGTTGACTTAGTATAAAGAACAAGATTCGAATTTTCAACACATATGTGAAGTTAGTTAGTACTTCCATGTGGGTCAGAAACTTTCACTGAAAGTCACGAAAGGGATTTCCAACAAGCTACAGACCTTTATCAACAGCTGCCCCATCGCCTGGTTCCATACTGAAGATCCAATGGCTAGTCAGCCGGACAAAAAGAATTAACAACAAGAAATTCTGGCAGGCAGAATCTATCGCTCAACAAATATGTAGAAGGAAATAGAGATGACCCGGGCACATGTTGAAGAGGCCGTCAAATAACACCGCGCACCAGACACACCCTCAAGTTAAACCCGAATGAAGAACGACGAGTTTGGCGTGGATACGAGGGTGACATGGAGGAGATCGTGTCAACTGAAGAAGAGATGAGAGATTATTGGCGATCGTGAACCCAGCTGAAGAGGACAGCACCGAATAGAATAAAGTGAAGATGTGTTGTTGAATCCCTCTGTTCCACTAGCAACACAAGGAAATGCTAAATAATAATACTGTATCACTATGCAATTTATTTCATATAAACTTATGTATAGGAGTATTGATGCATGAAGATGTGAGAATGACATAAAGAATGACATTTTGAACAATTTTACGCCATTTCCAACTGTTGAATTGTAGCAACAAGACAGTCGAACATTCAGTTATGTAACTCGAGCATATGTACACATAAAATGTAATTAATTTTAATTTAATTCACTTCAGAAAACTCTTCTGTAAACGTATCACCTGTTAAAATATTATAAATTCTATAATCCCTTATATGTAGTTCAGCTAATTGTCTAACTAAGTGACAAAGTTTTTAATGTAGAACTCAGCATAAAAGTTCAGAAGTTCAAGTTGAAGAAGCTTCTGAGTAATTGAGAATAGTTCTGAACCATGTCATCGACAGTCTGCAGCCAGTGATTCTTAGCGTCTATAGAGCTCCAACCGAGCAGTCTAATATTTTCACCTACATACCAGCTGTCAAAGACTTCATAAAGTGATACCATATTTTGGTTTGACTATGATTAACCCTAAGTCTTTTTCAACCTAATCCTACATTGCGTAGCACTGGTCCATGAGGAAAGCAATGGTTTGGCATGCATAACACGTGTTTTATCTATCTCAGTCGGTGTACTTTTGTGGCGTGTGCTATTAGTCTGGAAGCAAATCAACTAAGAACCTATCGCTCAATAAATACGTAGGAGAAAATAGAGATGGACGGAACACACGTTGAGGATTTTTAACACCAAATGTTGAATAAGTCGCTTCTCTTATATAGAACAGAAACTTGACACCCCACGAAAAGTCTTCACTCCAGTACTGAACACCAGATGGCCAGCCAGAAAGCATCAGGAACAAGAAACTCTAGGAACGACCCAACCAAGAACCAATGAAGAGCTAGATCGGATCGAATGGAACCCGAGTGGGAAATGACGAGATGAAGGGGCGTAGGTTCTACGGTGACATAGAGGAGGTAAGAGACTATGTACAGAGAAAAGGACAAAGTGGAAATGTTCTTTTGGGGACTTATGTTTCACTCGCGGAACCCAAGGGAACAATATATATGTATATATGAGTAAATAGACTAACTGTTTACGCTTCATATAAAACACAATTTGCTCAAAATGACAGTTGGTGATAAATCATCAGCAGACAGTAAATTATTATTATTATGATTATTATTCAACTACTCATTATATAAAACCGCTTTCTCCCCACAACATAAATTCACCCAATAGAAACATATTGCTATACATCTGCTGTTTGCACAGAAAAAATTAAAACGAAAGTAGATGACAGTAATGACCACGAACATATGATTAATTATATTCAAGTAGTCAACACCAATGATTAATGACAATGGCAAAAAATAAAAATATAATTTAAACATTAAATAACACGACCCCGGGGTTAAAATAAACTTTGTGAAAACCATGGAGGAAAAATAGCGGGTTCGAGCCCGTGACCGTCATAGCAGCATTGGTTAACAGACGCGAAAGAAAGAAACGGTGTTCACAGCTCTATTTGTCCTTGAGTACTTGATCGACTTCTATCAGTCTACCAACTCTGACGACTATGACTTTAAGAACATCTATGGAATTCATGTTGCATTGGTGATTCAATGGGAGAAAACGCTCGCCAACCAACTCTACTGACATGGTCTGGGTTTCCATCCCGCTGCCGATACACTCTTAAACCTCGCTAAGCCGAAAGTAAGTCCTGTATAGAAGGAAGGTTGGGTGTGAGGCTAGCGAGCCCCACCCCATAAAGTTAGGAAAAAACCACCACTTCCGATACTTTAAAGTTTCAGATTGAAGTCCTATGTCCCACTGGGAACGTAAAGGAGTACAATTTTAGAAAATTTCAAACCGAATTCAGGGTAACTTGCGGCGTGTTTTCTAAACTTCTAAGGACAGTGGAGGCCTTGATCACTCATGGATTCAAACCAGACCTCTGTGTGTGGTCGTAGAGTGGCAGACATTTATTTTAATTGGCGGATGGTGACTAGCAGTGGAATCCAGGATGCGCATTTCGTCCTATTAGGGACTCGTCAACCACTCGATGTACTTTCATTCCCCTGTGAGTAATGATGTTCCCATCGAGGCTCGAACCCAGTGACCATAGTTTCAAATGCCAAAGCGTTATCCACTAGACCATCTGGGCCAGGAAAGCCAACTCTTGTGCAACGGGTCATATTAATTATTTAATTGACCGAAGTGTTTGGTACAACTAATCGACGGGAAAATCTAAAATTCAATTAAATAATTCATTTGTTGTGTTTATTTAGTCAATCTATGTACCTTTCCCTCATGATTGCGATTATTATCATTATTACAATTACTATTCTCACTCTGAACTGTTTCTACTTGTTCCACTTGTCATGAAAAGTCTTTTTGCAATGTTGAATTCCATCTGATCAAGTCTCACGCCATGTTATGTAATGTTTTAGATTAGTTGGGGGACTACATCATCAGATGTTATCAGTAAAACAGACTATTGAAAAACCATACGGCAGTACTGGACAGTTGTTTCGTTCTAGTTTGGAAGTCTTCAGTAGTACACACCCACCGACAGGGTTCGAACCCAAGACCTACTGGTTACAAGGCTAGCGAGCTCGCAGACCATTAAGCCACTGGGACCCGAACCAACGCCAAGCCCATGAATTCCAACTTCTGCCAATTCACGCACGACATAGCACAACCACTCCATGATGTCTTCTTCTTCGATGAGTTACTGCCTCATCGTTAACCTGTTGTACCCCCTAATGGTCACGGCTTCCCATTAGAACCACAGGTTACCTACCTGAATAGGTCAACTGAAGAGATCATGATTGTGAAACAAAAAGGGCAAAACTGAAGAAAAGAAGAATTACCTTCAAGAATTCAGGTCTTTGTGAATTCCGCAGTTTATTAGAACCAATACCATGTACAACATTGGGCGAGGAACGAACTAATAGTTCTTGAGAAGAATTACAATTGGAAGACGGAGGTGAAAGTGATGAATGCGAGAGGATAGCAGAGTTTCTTGATGAACCGGGTAGATGTGAATCAGAAGAATGTGAGTCATTTAAGATATCCTCTCCATGTTTGGTATTTTTGTTAGTAGTGTTCTGTGAAAAGGTAGAGAAAACAGGAATCAGGTTAATGATGATGGGAAAAAACGTACAAACAGATAAAAATGTTACTAGGAAATTTAAATGCAAAGATCATTCGGAATTGATTTTAAGACACTACCATAATACAGAAGGGCATTTAGATGTTACACAAGTACTGGCAATTATTAGAGGAAGGTTTTGGAGGCGTAGCAATGACAGGAGAAATGCTAAAACAGAGTGCCAACTGATAGCACCCATGTTGACGGCAAGAAACCAGACGGATGATAGCTAACCTTTCTCTTCAGTAGGTGTGTGGAGTATTTTGAGCTGATTACAGTAGCACAGTAGGTAGGAGATCTGAAAAACGCTGCGTTTTTATTTTCACCTGTCTAGAATTACGAGTACACCTACAGGCAGCGTACAACCTATTCATGGAATCCTTTGCAATGAGGTGATGATGAGGTTTATTGGTAGGAGAGAACATCTGAAGGAAACATTCAGTGACAACAAAACCAATTCGATGACAACGAAAAGAGAATTAGATAGGTGCTTAAGGGAATGGAAACAAAAATACATAACATTTAATGACTGGGGGTAAAGACTGGCATTTCAACCTACTAGCCGCAAGTTATAAGGTGTTGTTTAATGGTAATAATAATAATAGTATCTTTATTCTGGACAGTATTTACAAAATGTACAGAATTTTCAGAGGAGTTTATTGCATGGTATTTTGCCTTCGCACAATATCTTCAAGTTAAAAATTAATTGACCGTATATCCTGTGACACAATCGTCTCTTAGCTGAAGCACAAACCATTCCATGATGACATATCTCCTCTGTCTCCTCCTACAAGAAATCCACGATATCTAGTTGAAAGCCAATTATAAGATGTTCAGAAGCACATTTTCAGACCCATGAACATGACTGAAGAACAGTTACTCCATGTATTGGAAAACGTTGTCACCTCAAAACCGGGCTTTTCCGCAAGTTTAGTAGGAACTTACGAATCAGAAGGTTGTATACATTTTAAATACACACAAGAGTAGATAATACCAATAGAGGTCATATTTCAAGCGATTATGGAAGCTTTTAGTAACCCAAGTTTCAAGCAGGCCGTCGCTAAAGCATATCGACGCTTTTGGGGACGTATGATCCGTACTGTACGTAAGGTTTTAGGTAGATTTGTTTTAATGGACAATACTGTTTTCATTAAGTTCATTATCCTTGATCCACGTGCGGTAGAATGTCACAGCGATAGAATGCTCGCCAATCACGTATGTGGTTCAGAGTTTGATTCCCTACCGACGCACTTCCAAACCTCGCTAAAACCGGTAAAGAGGGCATGGGGCTAGCAAACCCCATCCCGTCAAAATAAACACCACCGCTACCCAAACTTCAAGCCTCTAGCTTGAAGCAGTCCTAAGTTGTCCCACTGGGAACGTGAAGGAATAAAAAAATTTCTGATCCATAGTAATAAAATATATTTTTTGATCTCACAATTTTTCAAATAATATTTGAATCCCTTTTCATTCACAAGCTGTACACGAAGCCGATCATAATGCTTCCAAACTTGTAATCTTCAAGAGGTCGTTAGTTTATAGAGGCTTGATCAGTTTTGAGTCAGATCACAAACTGACATCAACTAGAGAATCATTAAAAACCAGGGAGCACTGAAAAAGCGGTTTCGTCCTACTCTGTGATTCATCAGCAATATGTACCTAACAGGTAACGCCACGAGTACCTCATATGGAGGCGCTGAAAAGATTCAATGAGTGCAACCAGAAACAAGGTGAATCCGTCAACCACTTCATCTTTAGTCTCCACAAGCTTGCACGTAAAGCTATGCAGGACAGCCCGTATTCAGAATTTGAAGACACTGTCCTGTGCAAGTTTCTACACGATGTCAATTTACGTTACAGGAAGGATTCTAACTTGCACATCTCAGCATCCATGGAAGAAGCCGAAAACAGGACACACTTACTGGAAAGCCTACAAGAGCCAGGAACCACATGCTAACAAGTCAATGCAATGGGGCTATCAGCACAGGACACTAAAATACACACACAGAGGCTTGTCACACAGTGGAAAGGACGTCAACAGTCACAAACTGTTGCAAGGGACGATTGCTACTACTGAAGGCAGTTCAGTAAGCTCTCTAGGACCCATACGATGAGTCCGATGGCCAGTCTATGAATTCTAACTTCTACTAATTCGTAATTTTAGAGCGACCGACACCACCAACCAATATATCATCGGCGAGTATCTATTCTCACTCCCGACGGCGTGAACCAGTCATCAGCAAACATCAGAATAATTTCCAAGCTTTTTTATTTTTTGTAAGTAGGGGATTCGTTTCAAGTTTCTTCATGGATTGGTGTCAGTTCGAGAAATATTGAAAACCATCAGGGAGAGAGCACCGGAAAGCTGTCTCAGCTTACCTTGCGACTTATCATCAGTACACACGCATGACCCCATCAGGGATCGTGTACCTAGGAAAACTGACCATTCAAAAATGGGGACAGTGTGCTTAATAACCATGATACATAGCGTCACCGCAATATTCACCAAGACCCATAATATCCCAAGACACTATGTCATCAGTTTAGAAAAATAGTAGTAGGTAGTTCTCACTTGGAAAATTGTTGGGACAGTAGATTTAAGAGATGTTTAAACTTCTCCAATCTCACCCCACCTCCCTCCCCGATAACAAGATTTCAGTCATAACAAGCATAATCTCACTGCCTCATATAAAAAGGATACATATGAACAAACGACAAATGTTAACTTATGTTTATATATGTTTACCTGAGCAGAGATATCAATTACTCCGGATGCAGGAGTGCTTAGACCAGCATTAGCAGGTATTGTATTCAGCATATGATGATTAGGTGATTCACCAATATCTCTTCTCAAACGATAACCTTGTGATACTAATAAACTAATACTAGCACCAATTGGAATTGATTGAAATAATGAAACTAGTTGTGAATGTGTATAACCGAGCACATTTGTCCCATTTACACTGACCATAACATCACCAACAGCTAACTGACTATTCAGTGAAGCTGGACCACCTGGAACAAGATGTTTAACCTAAAATTAAAATAAATTAAAAAGAAAAACAAACAATAGCAGTGGATTAAAGTTATTCATGTACAGTTATCAAGAATGGTTGTGCATCGGTGGCACAGCGGTATAGAGTGCTCGCCAACCATGCCACACGTGGTTCGGAGTTCGATCCCTAGCCACAGACGAACTCCTTTACCTCGCTCACTAAGCCAGTTATAAGACTGATAAAGAGGGAAGTTTAAGCATGAGGCTTGAGAATAACCACCACTGCTACGGAAACTTCAAACCTCTAGCTTAAAGCCCTATGTCTGTGTGCGTTTGTCTGTCCGTCTGTTTTCGACATGGAACTTTGCACCGATGTGCAGCAGTTCAATTCGTCACACTCCATGTGGCACACAAAGCAAGAGAAGAAAGTAGAAGAAATGCATAACAGAGAGACAAAGGAATAGTAAAAAAGAAGAACAATATAGTTTCATTGGATGTTATGAGTCACAAGGACTGGATGCATCTGCGTCAGCCATTGAGAACGATTTTAATCCCTATCACCGATTGTTTCCAACCTTTAGTGGTTTTACCGTCTCGAGGACCCCAGACAGGAAGTTTACACCTTCCCAAGTGGCTTAAACTGACTGTTGTGGATTTCATTGACTGATGAAACCATGTTTTGACTTGACCACCAATAGCTCTTTTCCAGCCCGTCCCCATGTCAGCTAGCTCTGCCTGTCGAGGAAGGCGATCAATGGCTGCGCGTACATAACACATGTCCTAACCATCTCAGTCGATGTAACTGCTTCACAGCCTCATTGATTGATTTCCCCTCCTTACCTAGCACTCGACCGATGCCTAGCCTCAATATGTGCTCGCTCTAGTATACCACCATTTAACACGGGAGATAGAACGCAGGCATCTGTGATCGAAGACAACTATTCTTTTCATGTCTTCCACTCTCAGTGGCCAGGTCTCACGGCCATATAGGAGAACGAAGCGGACTATTGAACAGTACACCCGCCCTTTAGTCGATAGCCGGATATCACGTCTACGCCAGAGTCGGCGTAAACTGGCAAATGCGAAACGAGCCTCCTGTATTCGTGGTGAGATTTCGTCAGAGATCAACCCGTTGGCACTGGCTGATGGTACTTCCAAAATAAGTGAAGCGGTCAACGTGCTCTACCACTTCACTTCCTATTTTTAAACTAGGCGTCGATGTAGTCCAGTCAGTCCTGTAACATCATCTTGCATTTGGCGGGAGCGAACCGCATGCCAAACCTTAGTAGATTGCAGCTCAAGGTGTTTAGAAGACTCTGCATTTTGTCAGCGTCCTCGCCTAGAAGGACTATATCATCTGCATATACTACGTCAACGAGATTATACCCTGGTAGCAAGTCAATCCCTGAGTCTCTGAAGTGAGTTAGAGTTAAATCCATCAGTACATCTATGATGCCCTATGTTCCACTGGGAACGTAAAAGAATAAAACACAAGAATCTTTTAACTTCAGCATGTCCGATTTACATAGTACATTCATAATCATACTGTCACAGAGTACTTAGGCATCTGAAAGAAAGCTGATTAGGAGAGCATGAAAGTGTACCATTTCACACCTGCCACACTCCATGTAGTACATAAAAAAAGATTAAAGACAGTGAGGGGGGGGGGCTTGGGGGAATATTCGAAAGAAAGACAGAAGAGTAACATGGAAAGAGTCAAGGCGTCTGCACCATTGAGAAAGATTTAAAGCTACATCATCACCAACTGTCTCCAGACATTGATTCTTAGAATCTAATGGAGAACAATTAGTCAGACACTCTACACCTACCTACATGTCTGGCTCATTTTATGAACTGATTCCATATTTTAGTTTGACAATCACTGGGACTCTTTTATCCAACCGACCCTATGTTAGCTAACATTGCTCTTCGAAGAAGGGAATGGGTAACACTCAACGCCTGACCTTAGTATTCCTGATCTTATTATACCATTACAGATGAGAGATAGAACAAAAAAACCTATGATCAAAGACAGATAGCCTTTCGATGTCTTCCACTTTCAATGTCAACGTCTCACAAAGAAGGATAGAGCGAACTGCTACTGAGCAGTTCATACGTCCTTTCATCGATAACTAGCAGGATATCATGTCTACTAAGCCAAAGATGGCATAAGTCGACAAATCCATTACCGATCTTTTATATCCATGGTGAGATTTCGTCATCAATCGGTTCATTAGGGCTGATGAAACTTCCCAAATAAGTGAAGTTGTCAACACGTTCCACCATTTCATTCCCTATCTTTGAGCAAGGAGTCAATGTAGTCTAATCCAGTCCAGTCTTGTAGCATCATCTTACACTCGGCAGCACAAGCGAATCATAGGCCGAAAATTCGAGGATTTCTGCTCAAGATGTCCAGAAATCTCTGCATTTGATCAGCATCTTCGTCCGAATATTCCAGGCCCACAAGACTATTCCCTGGTAACAATTCAATGGCTGAGTCAGTGAACTCGATTGGGGTCTGTTCCGCTAGTACAATATCTATGATGACAATAAACAGAAATGGGGACAGTGAACATAGCCCCCTGAGAGACAGCACTCGTCGTCATCACTTCAGATAACCGCTTCCCGTAAGCTTCTACACAGCTGTGTGAGTTCGAGTAGAGTGCGCCGACTAGTACAATGTACTTTAACAGAACTGACTTCACAGCTGCGTCGAGTTCCGCCTTCAGGTCAATAAATATGGCAATTGTTTTTTTAATTCCTTTGCGTCCCCAGCGGAACACGGTGTCTCAAGCTACAGCTTTGAAGTTTTGGTAGCAGTGATGTTTTTCACGGGTTGGGGTTGCTAGCCTCATACTCAACCTCCCCTTCTTTTCGGGATCAGAATTGGTTAATAAAGACAAAGGAGTGCCCCGACCAGGACTCAAACCCCAAATCACGTGCATGGTTGGCCAGCACTCTACCGCTGAACCAACGATGCGATTGTTGGCAATTGTTGGAAGCCAGTAAATATGCCTATGTTCCAGAATCTTTTGTAGGGTGAATTATATGAGCAAGACATTCTCTATCTGATCTAAAGCCTGTCTGGTTTTTCCGTGTTTGTTTCACCCGAGCTCCACTTAATCTACGTATGATTATCGAGCCCTCCCTCTACGATTATTACCACAGGAAGACTTACCAGCCTTCTTGTATACTAGGATAAACAATGACTTAAACCAGCCAAATGGGACTATCTCCAATTCTCAAACGTTCCTTAATAATATCTTCATTAGCCCCGACAGCAATTTTTAACCACCGTCGTTAAACACATTAATCGAAAGCACATAAAGAAAGGCGGCAACACACAAACAAGCAAACTAAAGGTTGTCAACACTTCCAAAAGTAATGTGTCTTCAGGAGAAGACGTTCTTCCCCTTCCCCCATTAAAAATGGATGAGAGAGAGAGAGAAAATCTGACGCGATGATAGCTCTCGTAAACCACTCAATGAGAGAAGCCACTAACCAATGTACAACAGATGTTGTAGAGTCACCATCATTTACGACAACATGAGAAAAACAATACTGTGACAGTGTAATTATTATCAAAATGCGAAAATACCAACATACCTGTAAATATGCTGATCGATTACAATCTGAACCACCGATAATTGTAAAACCAAAACCACGTGGACTTTTCACCAAAGTTGTAGTCACTAATGGACCTCTCAGTTGTTTCAAATCTGAACAGAATGTCACTGGAGTTATACGTCCACCAACACCGTCATCGTCGTCAGTATTGGCATCACCATTCACTTTCTTACTGTTGTCATCATTATTATAAGTGTCATGAATTGAAGTCGATTTCAGATTATTATTTACATTTGTGACTATTTTATTATCCGTGTTGTTGTTGAGTGAGTCATATTGTGACAGGTGTTTTAATCGAACCTTTTCAGCTGTCTTAAAGTCTTCAACTGTAGGCGGTTCATATTGTGTATGCTTATTAATATGATCAATATAAAAGGTACCATATTTAATATCTTGTACAATTTCCCAACCATATGGTAGAACATGTTCACCGGGTTGATCCAGTTTATCAACTGAATAGGCAGTTTGATCACAAAACTAAGAAGAAGAAAAAATAAAAAAACAGGAAGAAATGGTAACAATATTAGTTATAGTAGTAGGAGTGCGATACATGCTACTGACAAGATTTATCAGTAGTATATAGATGCAGATTGGCAAAAAGTAGCCAAAATCGAAAACAACATTTTAATGGACAATGGCTACAAAAGGTAGATGTGTCTATTCCTCAAATCTGCACTTAGCTTACATTGTGGTCAGGAAGTTATCCCATTGGACAGCTGTTCGTCTCAAAGTTTAGTCTTCAGAAAGTCAACAGCCAATGAGAACAATTTATTACCAGCTGACCTAGCTAAAAATGTATCAGATGTGTTTCTCCTAAATAAAAAGTCCGTAGCCAAGTCTCCTACCTTTTCTCGTAAGAGCAGCATAATGAGTAGTAATTTTGGCGGTCGTAATTGTTATTATTTTTAAAAATGCCGCTATTAAAACAAAATTCATAATTTGCAAATCGGTTAGCGATTCGCCATGTACACCGCAATCACCATAATAAGTGATCTGTTTGAAACTATAAGTGGTAATTAAGAAAGCAAGCAAGTTTATGGGAAATCAGACATATATCATCGGCGAAATCCAGATCCTCCAAGTCTTTTGTGTCAGTCCATTTTATGCCTGTTCCCTCGTTGGTTGCCGTTGTCTGTCGCATTATCCAATCAATTGCAATCAGGAAGATCATTGGTGATAGTAGACAGCCTTGTCTCACTCCCGTCCTCACTTCGAAGGCCTCCGTAAGTTTCCCGTTGTGGATTACTTGGCATGCAGCATTGTCGTATAACTGTTGGATGAGATGTATAACTGCCATCGACAATTATACATCTCATCCAACAGTTATACGACAATGCTGCATGCCAAGTAATCCACAACGGGAAACTTACGGAGGCCTTCGAAGTGAGGACGGGAGTGAGACAAGGCTGTCTACTATCACCAATGATCTTCCTGATTGCAATTGATTGGATAATGCGACAGACAACGGCAACCAACGAGGGAACAGGCATAAAATGGACTGACACAAAAGACTTGGAGGATCTGGATTTCGCCGATGATATATGTCTGGTTTCCCACAAACTGGAAGATATGCAAGTGAAAAGTAACAAGTTGGCAGAAGAAGCATCAAAGATAGGACTTCACGTGAACATAGATAAAACAGAGATAATGAAGATTCCTAGCCAACATCAACAGCAAAAACAACAACAACAGACAACAATCAGTATAAATGGGAAGAACCTGAAAGAAACAGCCTCCTTCACCTACCGACATGGGAAGCATCGTCTCAACTACAGGCGGATGGAACTGACGAGGATATCAAAGCCAGAATCCGAAAAGCAAGAAAAGCTTTCATTATTCACATCAAGTATGTGTGGAGATCAACAGCACTCAGCATCAAAAATAAGATCCGGATTTTCAACTCCAATGTGAAGTCAGTGCTACTATACGGATCAGAGACTTGGCGAGTCATAAAGAGCATCTCAAACAAACTTCAAACCTTCATTAACAGCTGTCTCCGCTCAATACTCAAGATCAGATGGCCAGAAAAGATCAGCAACAGGGATCTCTGGGAGTGAACCAATCAGGAACCGATTGTGAAACAAATAGGCAGGAAGAAATGGAGATGGATTGGCCATACGCTGAGGAAACCATCAAGTGACATCACTAGACAAGCCAACGCTCGAGTGGAACCCGAAAGGGAGGCGGCGAGTTGGTCGTTAGTGCAAGGGTGACTTGGAGGAGGTCATGCGAGGAGGAGATGAAAGCATGTGGACAGACCTGGAGCAGGGTGAAAAAGTTGTCAGAAAACCGAAGGCAATGGCGGTGCGCAGCTGAAGCCCTATGTTCCTCTAGGAACTAAAGGATACAATAATAATAATAATAAAGAAAGAAAGCATTATTATTGATCCCTTGGGTTCTGAGTGGGAAACACGACTTCAACAACACCTTTCCACACTGTTCTAGTTTCGGGCGTCCTCTTCAGCTGGCTAGCCACACCACTGCTCATAATTTCCCATCCCCTCCTCCAACTTATGTGATCTCCTTGTCACCCCACCCTCTCACCTACCATCCATTTGTTGCCGCTTCCTATTGGGATTCTACTCGAACGATGACCTGCATTCAGTACGACGTTATTCGACGGTCTCCTCAATGTATACCTGATCTATCTCCATTTTCTCCTACATATTTTTTGAGCAATCAGCTCTTGGTTGGTTCTACCACTGCTAGAGCTTCTTGTTGCTAATTCTTTCTGGTCGACTGGCTGGCTGTCTTTGACCAGAGATGTTCGAGTTCTACGTCCCATGTTAATTAGCATAATACAGTGAATAAAATCGAGGTAAGGAGCTTTTAAGTCAGTCGATGAGGTTGTGAAGGTGAATCGATCCAAGTGTGTTGGACACGTGTTACACATCCCTTCCTTGTTAAGCAGTGTTACATGACATAAGATGAAGCTGGAAAAGAATTAGGTGGGAGCTCAAACCAAAACTTGAAATCAGTTCATGAAATCTTTAACTGACAGTTTTAACCATGTTGAAAGATGTAGACTGGCTAGTTGGACTCCTCGAGATGTTAAGAACCAATGGGTGGCGACTGCTGCTAATATGTCTCAAAATCATTCTCAATGGCGCAGATGCATTCAACTCTTTGTGATCTTTCACCCACACAACGTGTTCCCATATTATTATTTTTTCTTTCGCACATTGCTACTCATTACAGTCGGTTTGAATCCATTTTTCCTCCCTCTGCTCTATGCTGCATAGTGTGTCAACTTTGAACTCCTGCACTGAGTGACTGACTGACTGGTTTCAACGAAGAACTTTGCACAGCACAAATATGTAGCTGTTCGAGTTGCCACTTTACCTCCATGTAGCACACAAAGCAGGAGAAGAGAGTAAAGAAAGATTCAAACGAGAGAGAGAGAGAGAGATAACAAACAGAAGTAGGAAAGGAAAAACGAATAGTAATACGAAAGAAGAATAAAGTTTTATTGGGTATGACAATGGACAAAGAGTGAATTCATCTGCCTTAGCCATTGGCAACGATTTTCAGACACAGCACCAGTTGTCTCTAGCCTTCATTGGTTTTTGCCATCCCAAGGACTCTAACCAGTCAGGCAATCTACATCTCCCTACGTGCCTGGCTTAAACTAACTTCTAAGGATTTCATTGACTGATCAAGCCATGCTTTCGCCTGATCACCACTATCTCTCTTCTAACTAACATTGCCCATCGCGGAAGGCGGTGGTTATAGCCAACCGGATATCGCATCCACTAAGCCAGAGATGGCATAATTGGCATATGCTAAATCTACCTTCGATATCTGTTCTGGGACTTCGTCAGCTATCAACCCGTCGTTACCACACTCCACCAACCACTTCACTCCTGTCTGTCTTGAAGCTAGGAGTCGATGTAGTCCAGTCCAGTCCTGTAGCATCATCTTACATTTGATGGGATCGAATTGCACGCCAAACATTCGAAGATTGCGGGCCCTCATGGTGTTCAGAAGACTCTACATTTTGTCAGCGTCTTCACCTAGGTAGGAGGACTACATCATCCGCCTATTCTAAGTCAACAAGATTATTCCTTGATGGTAAGAAGTCAATCCCTGAGTCGCTGAAGTCAGTTAGAATCAAGTCCATTAGTACATCAATCATGAAATTAAACAGAAATGGGGACAATGGACATCTCTGATAAACACCACTGGTTTTTATTACAACTTCAGATGACAAATCTCCGTAGGCTCTCTCATCTGGCATGAGTTCGAGTAAAGTGAATGCCTTGATCAGTGTACTGCACTACTACAGTACTACCGTAAAAATATTTATCTTCTTTCAGTTTTTTCTTTACATAACTATTAGCTTTTATTTTGAAAATTGTAGCATAGTGAACTAGTTGCCTTTGTTATTATCGCTTTACCACACACACACACACACACACACACACACACACACACACACACACACACACACCATTGCTCTTGCAGTCTACCACCTTAAAAGGTGACACGGCTGGTAATACCACAATGCATTGCTATGCACATTGTCAACAAATTAAAATGTTTAAGAGTAAAGTTAAAATTAAAGAACAACAATGACAGCATACCAAAGAAAATATTCACCATTAGTTACTTCAGCGCTTCAACAAAGAAAGTTGACAAAGAGAGAGCAAGAGAGAGAGAGAGATTAAGAAAAGAATTTACCACTATTGTTACATAACTCAGCTCTATGCATACATTATTCTTCTTTTTTTTCACTTTCAATAGCAACAAAAAGTCAATAACTATAGCTTTTTATCAACCACAATTCGGAATATCATTGGTGATAATAAGCACCAATGATATTCCTAATTGTGGTGGTGGACTGACTGGATTATGCGTCAGACAGCGAGTGGGGAACGAGATGAAGACAGGGATATCCCGGACTGACCGACGTGAAAAACCTAGAAGACCTGGATTTCCCGAGTGGATGATTTATGCTTGATATCACTGTCACAAAATCGAAGATTTACAAGCGAAAACAGACGGACACACTGGTCGAAAAAGCAGCTGATGAAGACAGGACTCCAAGTGAAAATAGACAAGACGGAGGTTATGAAAATAACCAACAAACCAACCAACAACAGCAGCAGCAACATCCAGCGTCAATCACCATCAATGGGAGGGATTTGAAAGAGGTTACTTCATTCACTCACTTATCTAAGGAGCATTGTCTCAAATACAGGAAGTCAGAACGGACGAGGATGTCAAATCGAGCGAGAATTGGGAAGGCGAGAAATACACATCCGTCAACCTGAAATCAATCTGGAGATCTTCGTCACTTAGCCAGCATCAACAACAAAATCCAGTCGGGTGTTCAATACAAACGTCAAGTCAGTCAGTTCTTCTAAACGGATGAGAAACTTGGTGGGTGGGTCACAAAGAATATTTCCAACAGCCTGTTGCAGACCTTTATTAACAACTAACTGTCTTCGCTAGCTCTATACTGAAGATCAGATGGC